TGCCTTGGTCGGCTGACCGGGGAGACGCGGAGCAAAGTCGCAGAGCACGCGGGCAGCGGGACAGTCCAGGTGCGCCGCGGCTGTCCCACTGCTGGCGTGCTCCGCGGCTTTGCTCCCCATCTCCCTGGTCTGCTGGTCAGGAGACAGGGAGCAAAGCCGCAGAGCACGCCCGCAGGGGGACAGCTCAAGCGCACCCGGGCTGTCCCGCTGCGGGCGTGCTCCAAGGCTTTGCTCCCCGTCTCCCTGCAGACCAGGGAGACGGGGAGCAGTTTTTCTCGCCCCGGAGGACGGGGGTGGCGCATCTGGGCATCCCGCCGCTCCCGTCCTCCGGGGCGAGAAAAGCCCCATTCGTAACTGCGGATCCGACATAAGTCGGATCCGCGTAACTCGGGGACTGCCTGTATATGCAGGAAGTGAGACTCGACTATCACAATGGTCCTTTTCTGGCCTTAAAATTGATGAGTGAAACCCTAGTTCTAATGAAGTTAATGGCAAAAATCCCATTGACTTAAATGGGGCCAGGACTGCACCCTATGACTCTGTTAATGGAGTCTTTGCCGGCACTTTTTCATGCCTTTGATCAAAGTTTGCCTTTTCTCTGACATAGCGGCAGTCTCTGCCTCCAGTGACCACCCACAACATGATTGATGATTCCAATGACCCAATCCTCAATACCATCCGGCGCATCGGACTCTTCAATAACCGCACGGACAGAGTTAAAGTACAGTCTTTCATCCTGATTTTTCCCCTCTTTTCCTAACAGAAGTTCATGAAACTATCTCAGCCCAAGTTGTTAGTATTGGAGGAAGAGGGACTATTCTACTAGAGATGTGTGGAATGAAATATGCAACACCTCTTCAAATAGCAACAGCCAGGCTCATTCCGCAGATCCCATCAGCTGCTCATTACCCCCTGAACTTCAAGGAAGGCATTTAATGCGAGGGATGGCTTAGCTGTTAAAATCTTCTAGATAGAATTTTTGAAAACATGGCCCCATCAAAGTCCATGGCTAAAAATCCTAGCCTCTCAAAATCAATGGATTTCACATGATGGGCCTGCAACCCATATATCTAAGTACATCTTTATGCATTGTTTACCCAAATCTTATAACAGGACCATTTAAGAGAGAGAGGAAGGGAGCATTTTGCTATCCTTACGAATGAATGAATCCCACCTATTTGTGGTAGGCAAACTCTGTGTAGTTTGAGCCCGCCTTCCCAAGCCTTTTTCTGCCCGCACTTCTGAGCAGTGCTCCCCTAAGTTGATGATGTAGCTTACATTGTTACCCTTAGTGTTATGTGGTTCAGAAAGGGGATTGTGTCTCTTCATGAGCTCTCCTTTGAGTCAGTGTACGTAGGCACCACACCTCACTGTGTGCTCCTACTGAAGCCCCAAACCCCAGCAGATGCACTTCATAGGGCTAAACCCCCAAGATCCCTGTACCTGCTGAGCAGAAGCCCCTACCCACCATCCTGCTATAAGGCAGAGGTTCCAAGCTCCCTCCACCTCCGCAGCCTGGTAGAAGGAGAATTGGAGGGGAGCTGTACTTGAATGGTAAAATTGCCGGATGTGGCTCATGAGACATAGTTTGGCCTTCCCTGCCCTAACCCATAATGTTCAGTTTGGGTGTTTTCCTTACTTAAATGATGGGATGATGTCACCGATGAACCATGTGAAGAATAGTTTTAGATGCCAACAATATTCCCACAGTAGGCTTATATGAAGAGAGTATGAAAGAAAAGGTACCATGCATATAGAGCAGTGTTTCTTAAACTTTTTAAGACCGAGGAACACCAAAAAATATTTTTTTTAATGAACACCAAAGATTTAAAAAAAAGTTGGGGGTGGGGGAGAGGAAGAGTGTGTGTGGCGGGGGGAGTTATTGAGGAGGAAAAAATGGGTCCGAGGGAAATCAGAGGGAAAGTTATTGAGGGGGGAAAAAAGTCACCTGCCTCTTTAAGGGTGGCCATTTTGAATTCTGTTGTTCTCCGTGGCACACCAGTGTGCCACGGAACACAGTTTAAGAAACACTTATATAGAGGGATCAGGTGTTAAGGAGGAACAAATTAAGGTACCAAAAATTATGACTGTTGTCAAATTGGGCTATGTACAGATAGAATTAGGGAGGGACATAGAAAGCAATGTCCAAATCCCTAGACTTTGGCTAAGGGTGAAGGCACTAACTGTTTGATCTCTTCTATAATTAAAAATACTGGTTTTATTTTTCTTTTGGCACTAATGTAAGTTTTAAATATCTAGGTGATATTACACCCAGAGTTCCTGTCTTCAACAAGTCCATTATTACCCATGGACTATGAAGATTTTGTCAGAGGTTGCCATTTGGGGGTGTTTCCATCCTATTATGAGCCATGGGGTTACACTCCAGGTAAGCAAACTTTAGGTCAACTGCGGCCAGATGTTTAATATGGATCTTGCCGCTAGGGGGCATTTAGAAAGTGGGAGGAGCTTGACATTCTGCTTCTACAATATTGAACTCTATTTCCTCTATGTTACAAAGCTTCAGCTGCTGGCAGAGTTCTTAAACCAGATTTTTAGCTGGTGCAAACTGGCATTGCTCTGTTAACCAAAGAACACCTAGTGATGTTCCAGCTTTGGACTCTGACTTTCCCACAGTCACATGTATCCTTTGTCTGCTGTAGCATTAGAAGGCAAATCCATTTTTTGTGTGGTAACATCAAACATCTGCCCATTTAAAAAAAAAAAAAAAAAGATCTGGAGGAATATATATATATATATTGCAACAATGAGCCAAAAAATAGATGGAAGCCAAATTGTTCTCAGCTGGTGTAACTTGACTTAACCAAATTCAATGGTATTATGCATGTTTACACTACCTGGTCCTAATATTTTCACAATCTGATAGATATTTCTGTTGGCATTTCCCACAAACACTTACAAGTAGTGATAGAGATTAGGACTCCGTACCAGTGTTCTCTGTAAGCTGTGCGCTCATGTAGCTGCTCAGGAGAAATTCAGATACCACCCAGCTGATTAGCAAAGCACCCATAGCTAGGTTTTTGTTTCTACTGGTGGTGCACATGAAAACATTATTTTGCACGTGGATGGAAAAGATTAGAGGGAACATTGTTCTTTACATGAACTGAATATCAATGGAGCTCACAGAGACTAGTCTTCAAGGTAGGCTGGCATATGACCAAGAGTTTTGGAAGAGGGCTATAAAAATTGCCAACCCCAAATAGAGAAGTGGCAAGAAAGAAGATGACCATGACTTACAAGTAGTACTAGATAAGCCTCATAGGATTAGGGGGAGATATTTGAGGGCACAGTGGCAGTCAGGTTTTCAACCTATAATTTAGGGTCGAGATCTGCTAAATATTTCGGTGCCTAACTCCCATTGGGCTCACATACCGTTGAGAGTGTAAGGCTAAGTCCTTCACTTCTATTGTGCCTTTGAAAATATCTCCCTTAGTTATGATATGCATCTGAAAGTTTTGAGAGCTTATCTGAAGCATATCTGTCATTAGCCAATTAATTGGAGTAGAAATCTCACAAAATGAAGCTTTCTCATACAACGTTTAATACTTCCTGTCTCTGGTTCCAAATGGCTCACAATTATTTGATTGTATTTTAGCCCTTTCTCCTCTTGTCCCAGACTAAACCAGCGTACGGAAAAAACAATGAGATTAGATTAGCCTCACACAGAAAAGTTTGACTGGCACTCAGTTTGAGGGAGTGGTTTCTCTCATCTTGACTAATGGGTTACCCATATAAATCTCCCGAGAAGAAGACCCTTTTGGGGGGATTTTTAGGTTCATCCTAATCCTAAATTAGATATATTTTATAAGTCTGAGATTATCACTTGCATTTAGGTTCCCATCTGTGAACACTGAGCTCATAGAGGGTTTGTATTAGGATTAGCTAGAAAATATGTACTTCCAAAAATTGAAAGAAAAAAATCTATTTCTCATAAAAAATGTCACTTCCTTTGAACTTTTCTGTCCAAATGGTGGCAGTAGTGGATGGCAGGGGAAGTGGTCACTGCAAAAATCATGATGGCTTTTCATTGGAATTTTCTAACCAGCTCTGTGATTGACAGGACTCTAAATCCTCATATTTTCTGTTCACGCAACGTGAAACCAAGCAAAGTATATTGACAGTCTCTTTTTATGTGTCTTTTGGTAGCTGAGTGCACTGTGATGGGCATTCCCAGTGTGACCACAAACCTCTCTGGATTTGGCTGTTTCGTGCAGGAGCATGTAGCTGACCCAGCGGCGTATGGTGAGCTTGTTAATAGTACTTCAAAACTCATCAGATTTAGGAACCCAACTAATTAGCTGTTTTGTGACTGTGCCTATTGCACTTTTTCTCCTTTCTGAATAAATATAATTGAGGGGCAAACCCCAAAGTTCAGCTAGTTTGTTTGGATTGAAAGTTTAGGTGTTAATCCAAAACCTTTCCAGTTCTTTTTCTCTCCTGCATGGTTGTGTGTGCTTTTTTTCTTCTTTTTTTTTTTTCTTCCCCAATCCTAGCTTGCTCGTTAGACTTTCTTCCAATTTAACTATTTCCTTCCATCCCTCCCTTTCTAAGGAAGTGATGGAAATACACCCCTGCTTTAAGAATGGATTTACTGGGATAGCAGCAACAATTTGTGGAGTCCATGAAAGAGAGAGGATAACTTGACTAGACTAAACTGAGATGCATATTTACAGTAAGGCCCCTTCATAGCACTTTTATAATGGAAAGGAGCCTTATATGACACCTAAAGAGGGATCTAGGGGTCATGCATGCACTACAAACTAAATAAGGGTACATATACATAGCAAGGCTAAAAATCAAATTAAACTACACAACTTCAGCGACATCAATAGCGTAGCTGAAGTTGAAATAGCTTTACTCAGCTTTTGGCGTTGTCTGCACAGCAGGAAGTCAAAGGAAGAGTGTTCTTCCTTTAACTTCCCTTACTCCTCGGGAAATGAGGGTTACCATGAGTTGGAGTAAGAAGTCCTCCAGCTTGACATTATTTCAAAATAAAGGCTTGTCATGTAGATGTGCATTATGTTATTTCGGAATGATGTCAATTATTCTGAAATAACATTGCTGTGTAGACATACCCTATGAGTCAATAGGGTGATTCTGTTGCAGACAAAAGCACACCATGTTTTGGGAGGAGAGAAGTAATTCTTCCCATCTACTGTGTGCTGATTAGGCCTCATCTGGAGTATTGTCTTGTTCTGGCATCTCATTTAAGGAAAGATGCGGACAAATTGGAGCAGGTCCAGAGAAAAGCAACAAAAATGATTAAAGGTCTAGAAAACATGACCTATGAGGGAAGATGGAAAAAAATTGATTTGTTTAGTCTGGAAAAGAGAAGACTGATGGGGGTCATAATAGCGGTTTTCATGTACCTGAATGGTTGTTACAAGGAGGAGGGAGGAAAAAGTATTCTCCTTAACCTCTGAGAATAGGAAAAGAAGCAATGGGCTTAAATTGCAACAAGAGAGGTTTAGGCTGGACATTGGGAAAAACTTTGTCAGGGTGATTAAGCATTGGAATAAATTGCCTGGGGAGGTTGTAGAATCTCCATCATTAGAGATTTTTAAGAGCAGATTAAACAAACACTGGTTAGGAATGGTCTGGATAGTGCTTAGTCCTGCCATGAGTTCAGGGGGCTGGGGTTGATGACCTTCTGAGGTCTCTTCCAATTCTTTGAGTCAATAATTCTGGGATTATAAATGAGAATGAAGACCCAGGTTCTTGAAATTAATGGAAGTTGGGTGTCTAAATACCTTAAAGAACTGGGCTGTGTCTTTGTATCTTCAAAAAAGTTGATATTTCGAATGAGATTAAAAAGAACAAGATATTGGGACATCATTTAAAAAATATGGTATTACAGCTTTGCTCATTACATTCTGTACTGACAGACTCTCACAGGTTACAACCAATTTTTCACCAAAATTCTAAAAAGCATAGAGAGGAGAAAGTGTTGACCTGGACTAGCGACATTGAGGTAATAATTACATGTACATTGTCTCAGCTTAGCTATTTCAATGTAAAATCCTAGTGAAGCTAGCTTTCTTGATTTAAAAACATGCCGCCTTTTACAGAGAAGATACATCTTGCGTGTTTGGGAATCTCTCTTGTCTGTCAATTTTCACCCCCCTCACTTCATACCACAAAGCTGCCACAGGCATTCAAAAAAAGGTAGCAATTTTTTTAATAATGGAAAAGTGAATTTTTTTACCACACAAGCACCGAAACCATTTTTGGACAGACTTGAAAACAATAGAAGTCTTCCTGGGCTGAGAACAGATCTGCCAAATTTCAGCCCCAAAGGAAAAAAATTCAAAGCATTGCTCAGCAGCTGCTGAAACATCCTGCTAGAATGAAAACACTTGTCATTCCTTGGTCCACTTATTAAAAAAGAAAGTTGACTACTTGTTATACTTAAAAGAAAAATAGAACTGTAAGTTAAGTCAAAAGCTTGCTTCTATACTGGCTCATCTGCAACTTTGTTTGCATCCTCAGGCATTTACATAGTTGACAGGAGGTTCCGCTCCCCCGATGAATCGTGTAACCAGTTGACTCAGTTCTTGTATGGATTTTGCCAGCAGTCACGGCGCCAGAGGATTATCCAGAGAAATCGAACGGAGAGGCTCTCAGATCTACTAGACTGGAGATACTTAGGCAGGGTATGTGAATGTGTTTAAGGGTTGCATACCAAACTCTTGGCCCAAACACACTTCCACCACCATAGTTTTTGGGGATAGAACCTGTTGTTATTAGCACCAAAGTCCCTTTCAGAGAAGTTTCCCTTTTAACTTACAGTTAAGGATGTGCTCAAGTGCCCGCTTACTCCCATACCTGAGAGAATCGCCTTGATTTGCTTGTTTCGTGCAGGAGCCAAATGCGATGTGGAGGCCTTGTGTCCATGGTGCGGGGGAGGTCCCATTACACCGGGGTTTGGCCAGATCCAGCCAGTATCTGGCTGCTTTCTATTTATATCCTTCTGCTCTTGACATCAAATTTATAGGTGGTGGCTCAGTCAGCAGGATCCTATTTAAATAGCTCACTGCTCCCAATTGCAGCGTTACCCTGATAGGGCCGGAGCCATGAGCCTTTTAAATAGCTGCAGCAACCCAGGATGGCTGCCAGGCACTGTGGTAGTGGCAGGGCCAGGAGCCCTTTGCTGTGTTTTTACTTCAAGGCCTCCGGCCCCAGACAACTCTGCAGGGAGGCTAGTTCCCAGCCCTACCACTTCCTCCCCAAGCCTCACTCTTCTGGTGGGTGGAGCTGGCCCATGACCACGTACCAAAGTTCATTAAGCGGTCCCCCTGCAAAAATTATTGCCCACCCCTGCGTTACAGGATCACAGCTTGCCACGGTAAATTGTCATTTCAGCGTGGATCCCCAGAATGAGCAAAACTGTTGGGTTTTTTTAAACTTCACGCTGAGACTTTTTTTTAAATTTGCAAAACAATGTCAAGGTCAAAAATCTATGTTTCCTATGTCTACCTACATTCATTTTGAAGAATGTGTCTGTTTTAATGTGTGTAATGTGTTACAGTAATACATTCATGAGCATATATAATATATTTCTACTCTGGAAAGAGAAACGGGTGCTATATTTTAGGGATAAAAGAAATGCCTCCACCTCCCCAGAAAGATAAGACCGGTTTAAATAGGTGCCCTACGCCATGTCATATTCCTTAATTACCCAAGAGTGTATCTTCACTGAAGCCAAAGAAGCAGCTTCTGTTCAGTTACCCCAGTATAAATCTCTCAGGATTTGATCAATTATGTCAGTGCAATGTGTTCATAGTTTCACAAGGGCCATGCCAGCTGGGTTAGCCTTAGTTAAGGATCCAGTCAGTCTTTCTTCAGCATCTTTGAGAAGATAATAGTGTTCCTGTTCCTGTCTCTGCCTAATTGTGCCCAAGTCTTTACGAGGTGGTTGTACATGTAGATCTGTTTTCTTTTTGCAGTACTATATGCATGCCAGACACCTGGCTCTGAGCAGAACTTTCCCAGATAAATTTGAGATGGAACCAAATGCTCCACCAAAGGTATGTCTATCAGTATAGATGATTTTAGTCTGCATTTTAACAACTGTCTTGAGAGAGAGAGAAAGAAAAGCCTGATGAACAATATTTCATTTAACCTCAAGCAACGTTTAGTTGAGTTCAGTGTTTTAGTACAGTCAAATTCTGCTACAAGAGTGTATGGTAGGGATATTAAAATGTTAATGTGTAACCCCACTGCATTTTATAGCAGTTTTATAGCAGTTACACATTTGCACTTGGGGGCAGGCAGCTCTGCCGGAGCCAGTGCTTGCCTGCTCCCCCCTGCCCCATCTCTGATACAGAGGCAGCAGGGAAGTGCTGCATGTAACCATTAGGATTCACTGCTGAAACCAGGCTCATTCAAATGGATAAACATTCACATCACTAGTGTCTGGATGCCCAATAGAAAACCCCATCACCTGAAATAGGGATTTATGAAACAGGGACATTTTAAAAAGGGAAAGGAGTTGATACTCCTGTGATTATTTGCCTCATCAAAAACTAGATTTGCTCCACTTCATTATTCTTGTATTTTGCTACATTGTTATAGCTGCTGCAGGGCAAGGTAGGTTCAATGCTTTGAAATGAAGGAGCATGTTAGGGAACTCGACTGCTTATTTTAGAATTCCTTCCAGACTAGTAAGAGTCGGAGTATGACAGAAGGCTTTAGAAGCCTAGATCTGCAATGAGATCTTAGAGCTTACTTCTCGTACAGCCTTGCTGTTCCAATAATTTAGCTATGCTGTTCCGCATGTGGGCAAAACCAGCCTTGAATTCCTCCAAAGAGAAAGCAGGTTAAAGGTTATACCATATCTTATTCAAGAGGCAGTTTTCTTTACATTGGCAATAAGATCCCAGATGCCATCATATAATGGTGTTAAAGCTTCACATTATACTGCCAGCTGAGAAGGGCATTTTGCATACAGTCCATATTGTTAACCACTAAAAATTATTCTTCGCACCAAGGATTAATATGCTGGACCCTGATGTGCAAGTAGTGTAATGGGAGCAGCTAAGTATGCCTGAAAGTAACTGCACAACCCATATTGCACTTATAGTGAAATACAAGCACAACAGAGACCTGACAAAGGCTTCTCTTCTTGAATGGCCCTTTAATCTGTTTGAAACTGAAGTTTGGTTGGTTGGGTTTTTTTATAGGGTTTGATAAACTCTGTAAATTGGGGAGGGGAAAGAATATGCACTTTTCCTGTTAAAATTGTATTTAAATTCACAGATGCTTGGGCTAGATCATAGCCCTGGGAATAAAATAAGTTGCAGTGTTGCAATAGGAATGTCCCAGTATTCCTCCAAGAGCTCCTGGTCAAGCAAGGAGCACATACCTGCTGCTTTACTCCTTATGGGCTGCAGCTTACTTCCCCTGCTGTATCAATATGGGTCTGCGGGCCCAGGCTGAGAGTGATTGATTGGCACATGGCCCCAGAGGAGAAGGAAAAGGACATGCCTTGCACTCTGTAGGCTGCACAGCAGATGGGAATCGCATCTATCACGTTTTGCTTGCTTTTTTCATATGGTTTCTCTGTGCAGATTACATCAGTTTTGGCTCCCAATCACACAGGCAGTAAATAGATTTAAGGGCATCTAAATCTGGTGTATGGAGCAGGTGTAGCCTTCATTAACTTATACGTAATCTTTGCCTTGGCCCTGTGGATACTTTGACCTACCATCACTCAGTATAACCAAACAAGTTGTGGCAGTGTAATGTTTATTTCTTGCTTATGTTTCTGGCAGACAGATGGTTTTAGGTACCCTCGGCCTTCATCAGTGCCCCCATCACCTTCCGCGTCTCAACATTCCAGCCCTCATCATAGCGAAGGGGAGGACGAAGATGAGGATGAAAGATATGATGAGGAGGAAGAGGCCGAAAGGGACAGGCAAAACATAAAGTCACCTTTTTCCCTCGGAGTACTGCCACAAGGAAAGAAAAAGCAACATGGAGAATATAGGAACTGAATTCCTTTGCTGTCATCCCAACGCGGTCTTCATCCATTAAAGAGCATCCAAGTGTAGGCTAGTCAATCTCTCTGAGTTAAGGGCAGTGCAGTGTGGTTAGGGAACCTTAAATAAGCATTATTTGGGTTAAACTGTTTGAAAACCTAACTATATTTTACCTTACAAGTGAATGGTAACTCTACTCTCTGCCTCAGAGGTAGAAGAGCATTTTCAAACCTTATTTAACCTAGAGGATGTGGCAATCCCTGTGTGATAACTCCAGCTAGATTGCACATACTGTAGATTATATTTTTGTCTGTATAATTATTTGAGCTTACTTGTAATTCATGAAGACAAGTCCATTATAGTCACTACGAAAGAATGCATACTTCCATCCTTTCCACTCCCTAGCAAACAGACACCACCTTTGGGCCCCGACTGGAATGTTTTAAAGAAATCGTTACCTGGGGAAACCTTGGCACAGTTAAGAAAATGGTTTTTTCCCTCTCCTGTTCTAAACCTACATCACTTTTTAAAAAAAAAATGCTTAAAGTGAAAAGAAATGTCTTGATGCTACTTGTGGGAAAATATCTGGTGGTGTTTTGTAAGATGACTTCATATGAAAATGCCTGTGGAGTTGTCTAGAACCACAAAAAACAGCAGACTGTTTTTCTGGTTTCTTTCGAATGCTACATTTTATTGCATTTTTTTCCTCTTCACTGAGGTATGTTGATGAAGTTGGGGAGATACATTCATGTGACTTGGCTCAAAAAAGTGATAAAATTCCTGGAAATGATTCCTTGCCTCTGTGAATAAATCCACATGCCATATTGTGTTGTAATAACATTGTCTCAAAAATCTAAATTTAAAAGCCTGAGCTCTGTCTGTCCTTGGGAGTTTTCTAGTCCAAGGCTACCACCTATGAAAATACATGAGTTAGCAGTGCCTACGGTTAAGTGTGCTGTGGTACTACCAGAGCCAACTGAGGTCAGGGCACTATTGGGCTAGACCTTGTTCAGTCATGTGATGAGGAAGTGTCCTTGCCCGGAAGAGTTCACAATCTGAATAGACTGAATAAAAGAGGGAAAACAAAGGCACAGAGATGCAATGACTCACTCAAGAACACCAGACAGCAGAGCTGTGAACAGAACCCAGTTCTCAAGTCCTAGTACAAATCTCTAGTCAGTAGACACAACGGCTAATTGTTCTAACTGTAATGCAGGGAAAACAAATGGGCCCACCTTTTGTGCATTGTCTACCAAATGTGAGAGGGCATCCTTTTACAATATCTGACAAAACCCCCTGAAATGAAAGATGCTACACCAAAAAAATAACAAAGTGAACTTGAAATAGTGAGTAGTGCTTTCCTCAGGCCACATGGACATTTACCCTGTGATCGACTCTCTCGAGATTGGTCTTCCAGAGTTCAAATTAGCAGGTCTAGTAAGGTCCTGCTAAATTGACTGCTGATGTTGCCTCCATCAACCCTGGTACTCTATAGTGTCGCGAGGAGTAAGGGAAGTCAACAGGAGAGTTTCTCCGCTCCACCTCTTGCATTGGGGCCACTGCAGAAATTTAAGCTATATTGACTCCAACCACACTATTCTTGTAGCTGGAATTGTGTATCTTAGGTTGACTTTCTCACGTAGTATAGAACTGGCCTTAGTCAGCCCTGACGTATCCTGTTTCAATATTCAGTTCAGCGTGCAAGCCAAGAGTGCATTGTCTATAGAGTTCTCTTTTGTTTCTATGACCTAGCACAGTATTTCTTAAACTTTTTAAGATGGAGGAACACCAAACAATTTTTTTTGTTGAGCCAAAAAAAAAAAGTTGGGGGGGGGAGGGGAATTATTGAAGAGGGAAAAAAGTGTTGGGGGAAAGCTAGAGCAAAAAAAAATCGCCTGCCCCTTTAAAGGTGGCCATTTTGAATTCTGTTGTTCTCTGCAGCACACCTCCGACTGCTTCACGGCACACCCGTGTGCCGCGGAACACAGTTTAAGAAACACTGATTTAGCATGTCTAAGGTAAATGAGTTACAGTAATAAGTTGTGAGTAAAATTTTAAAAGAACCTAAGTCCCCTTTTCAAAAGAGAATTAGGCCCAGATCCTCAATGGGAACAAGGTACTTAAATATGTTTGGATATCAGTCACCTAGGAGTGAATTACAATGAAACTTGGGCTCCTAACTGCCTAAGGACCGGATACTTAAAGGATTTTTAAAAGCACATAAAGCTCCATTGAGATTTACTTCTGAAGTCACTTGTTAAAAATGGAACTTATTGTTCCTAAGCCCTGCAGGTGCTTTTAAAAATGTGATGCTAAAAGAAAACATCAGGTTTGTGTGGCACAAAGATAAATGTGCAGCTCAGATCAGTCACTGCCTTGTGATGATAAAGAAAACTAAATCAACCAAGATATTTTCCTGTGAAATTGTATTGCAGAATGATCAAAGCCATTTATATTACACTGTAAACATCTTATTTTGAAAACTTCCTGAATTGGAGGGGAGTGGGAGCAAGAGAACAGCTGGATTTCACCATAAAACTGTTCAAAATGAATATTCTTCCCTGCTCTCATAATTTTTTTCTCAATTTACACATGCAAGGTCATTAGGAGAGCATGGGGTACACAGTCTGGTACATATGGGCAATGTGCTGCTGACTTAATGGAGCTGTGTTTCAGAGCAGGAAAGGAACCATGATTCCCATCCTACAAGAATTTTCAAGGTTTTGAAAAGTGTTTTGACTCTGACCTAGCATGAAAAGTCAAAATCTAGACCACATTTTCTAACCAAAACTTTGAAAAATATCATATTGGATCAATTGTACTATTTTGATCATTTCACAATGTTCCATTTTGATTTTGACCTTTATATTTTTTACATTTTTGTTACAAGTTATCTTAAATTACTAAACAAAACAAGTTATTGGAAAATGGAACTTCTTCATTTGGAAAATGTTGAAATGGGACATTTTGAAACTTTTTTTTCTCCACGATATTTTTAAGCAGGAAATTCATCAAAATGGACTCAACTCTTTTGGTGTTGACAAATGGACATTTTCTGACACATTAACTCAAACATTTATGGATCACCCCAGCTGCATTAAAATAACTAATTTTTTTCTGGGTTTGTTCTTACAGAGTTGCAATAAATAACATACATGAGCCAGGGTACATCTAGACACCGGGGCTATTTTGGGATACCAGAAGTATCCTGAAATATCTATGCTGTCTTTTAAACGTGCCTGTTATTTTGAAAAATATTTCAAAATAACGGGTGCACTATTGCAGCATCCATGTAACTCTCGTTCCATGAGGGTTAAGAGATGTGTCTAAATAGTGCCTTATTTCAAAATTTGACAGTGTAGATGTGCCAAATTTTGAAATAAGCTATTTTGAAATACAATCAAAATAAGACCAAGTTACATAGTGCAAAATACATATCTTATTTTGAGTTTAGGTTGCTGTGTAGACACCCCCCCCCTCCCCCCACTCAAAGCCTATAACTGCTCTTAGTCATGTTTTCTGTATATGACACCTCAGGGAAAATAGTGCGCTGTCTCAGCAGACAAAAATATCTCCATAATACCCACCTCTTTGTTTAATCTCATCAAACTCACATGCTGTACTCAACTGGCCAGCTCACCAAAGGCCAACCCCCACTGATTTTTTTTAATCATTATAAGATCGTTTATTTGCATCTGACAAACTCGGCCGTAGTTAGCTGTCATACTGAAAATACAAAGGGTCTAAGATCAGCTCATTTCTAAGTTGGCAGAGCTTTTATTTCTTTTCATGACATTTATAAGTAATTGTTCATGCTGGTGGGCTTGGACCTACAGTAAACCATAAAAAAGTCCATTCATCTTAACTATAGTGAAGAGGTTTTTTTTCTGTAGTTCTGAAATGTTCAGGCACATGAAAGTTGTCATAACTGAGCAGATCAGACGATATATAACCCATCTACTTTTCTCCAGGGTACAGTACAATCCCAGCTTCTGTAAAAATAATAATAGAGAAGTACCTGAAGAATTCAGATTAGACCTCAGCCAAAGTCCTTTAAAGTAAATAAGATTCTCATTGACTTCATTGGGCCATAGCTGAAACCCAAACATAGGATTTTGAATAAATGGAGTGATCCAGCACACATCAGCACTAGCTGATTTAACTGATTTTCAAAACTTAGGCTACATCTACGCCGTGCCTCTCTTGTGCAAAAGCCTATGCAAATGAAGTGTGAATTAGCATATTGCCATACTTCATTTGCATAATTAAATACCAGCCATTTTTGCGCAAGAGGCTTTTGCACAAAAAGGAGCTGTGTAGACTGCTCCTTTTTGTGCAAAAACCCCCTCGTGCAAGAGCAATTCTTCATTTTTTCATGAAGAACAGCTCTTGTGCAAGAAGGTTTTTTTGCACAAAAAGGAGCAGTCTACACAGCTCCTTTTTGAGCAAAAGCCTCTTGTGCAAAACTGGCCCATAATTAATTATGCAAATGAAGCACAGCAGTATGCTAATCTGCGCTTCATTTGTATAGGTTTTTGCAAGAGAGGTACAGTGTAGACGTAGCCTTAGGGTTTGTTCCCAGTCCATCTAATCATTCCCCCACCCTCAACCTGATTTAAAATGTAACTAGTTACAAGAAGTACCTAGCAACACATCAAAGAAATGAATTCTTCCATTATTCCAGTTGTGTTGGATTTGATCAAGTAGGAAGTAACATTGCATTGATTGCAAATTAGTGGTATTAATCAGTGCTGATATCACAGGCATATGGTATTGAGAAAGGTGGAGCACGATGTGAGATGCATACATATTTTTAAAGAAACATGGTTGCTGAGACACAACTCTCCTGTGACTACTTTTTAATCATATAACTCCAGAAGGCTTTCTGATAAGTGTCATCTAGCTGCATAGTAAAGTGAAACATATCCATATCTGGGATAGTTAGTTGAAGTGTAATTCCCATATTGTCACTCAGAAAGCAAGTAAACACATCGGTTGCACAACGGGGCTATGTCTACACTCGGCTTCTTGCGCAAGTAATATGCAAATGAGGCTAAGCATGGAATATCCCCGAGCCTCATTTGCATACCTAATGAGCCACCATTTTTTTCAGAAGAGGCTCTTGTGCAAGAAGGAGCATCTACACTGCCCCTTCTAGCGCAAGAAAAACCCTCTTGCACAAGAGCCTCTTCTGAAAAAAATGGTGGCTCATTAGGTATGCAAATGAGGCTCAGCAATATTCCACGCTTGGCCTCATTTGCATATTACTTGCTCAAGAAGCCGTGAGTGTAGACATAGCCCAACTGTGTAATTATGTGTATTTGTCAGTGCTGACTTATCCATTAGGCACAGTAGGCACAGTGCCTAGGGCCCATGATACTTTTAGGGGCCCATGAAAATGTTTTAATTTCTTTTAAAATCAGAAGAAAAAAATGAACTTTTAGGGTCAAAGAAAATGTTTTAATTTTTTTCTCACATCACAAAAAAAATGAAACTTTTAGGGCCCACAAAAATCTATTAAATTTTGCCTAAAACAGAAAAAAAATAAAATGTTGAAGTATTTAAAGTTATATCAAAAATAATTTTTAATATTTTTTTTTATGGAGGAAGGGGCCCACGAAGGCAAAGGTGCCTAGGGCCCATGAAAGTCATAATGCGGCCCTGATATTTGTGTGCAATTTCCCCATTACCATGTGTTGCTGGATTCACTGTTGGTCCAACACTGAATTTCAGTGGCTAACAGTGGTGAATTCACCCCATGGTCATTAGGAAAGCCCCCAATCCAGGTAAGAATTACACACAGGCATCTCTTCACACAGTGAGTAGTTAGATGGGATTAGTGTCAGTACATAAAAGAGAAGCATGTATTTAAATTTTGCAGAATTAAGATCTAAGTAGGTAGACTGTTAATAATTCATATTGTAGTGAACACCTGCCAACAATAAATCACCTGTTTTGTTGCCCTATATACTAGATGTATTCCATGCTATGTCTACACTGGCATGATCTTGCACAAGAACTCTTTTGCAGAAGAATTCTTGTGCAAAAACTCTTCCAGAAGAGAGCGTCTACACTGGCATGTGCATTTGCGCAAGAGCATCCATGCTAGTGTGGATGCTCTCTTGCACAAGAAAGCTCTGATGGCCATTTTAACCATAGGGCTTTCTTGTGCAAGAAATTCATGTTGCCTGTCTACACTGGCATCTTGCGCAAGAACAGTTGCGCAAGAGGGCTTATTCCTGAGTGGGAGCATCATAGTTCTTGCACAAGAAGCCCTGTTTTTATACAGTAGAACGTCAGTTTACTTGCGCAAGAACACACGGCCAGTGTAGACAGGCAGCAAGTTTTTGCGCAAGAGCGGCCACTTTGGTGCAAGATTGTGCCAATGTAGACACAGCCTAATAGTTCATTAATTTAACTGGAATATCACTAGCATGCAAGAGAATGGCAGATGGATTTCTGTACCAGTGATGAGATGTTTAACAAGTCAACAGATGTCATAGGTTAAAAGTGCTTACATGAAGAGTTGGCTGGAAAATGGTGAACATTTTTCTTTTAAAAGATTTTTGAAAAATTATCAAAAACAATTCAATACATGTATGATGTTTGGGTCCTGTACGCTAAAATGTTCCAGGGGTTTTTAAATTTTGGGTAGCACACAATGTGGTCTAAGATAGGTAATCAATTTAAAAATTGCTTTTGTAGCTGAACAATAACCTTTAATCAGGTTGCATTCAAAATGCAGAAATGTGTCCAAACTTTATTTCTTCAGAACACAGGTGGAGTCAGATGAACTGGAATGTTTTGCTTACACATACCATGGGTTAAAGAGAGATGGATAGGAATGTGGATACAACTTGAGATCTTTCACCAGCTTAATAGATTGTCTGTTAAGTATCCAGGGTGTTCATTGGTTTCTTCTTCAGCTGCAAGACAACAAAGACAAGTTATGAGGGGGAAAATGAGCTTCAAGATGTGTTTAAAAAATACAGAATGTGCAGTAACTAAAGTGATAGAGAAACCTGAGACATAACTCTATGATGTGTAACTATCTGGGAAAAGCAAAGGGCTTTGTGACATATGTAGTAATGGTTATATTTTTTGTCTTACTCGACTTTTAAAGACAAGTTCACCTTCCTGCTAAGGACCAGCAGGGCTATGTATTATGTGCCGATCGATGATTTTAAAGACAATGAAGAACTACAACACCTCTAGGAGACAGTAGTGTATTTGGTCTTTCTTTGGGATGTTCCTTAACCTTTAGTCAAAAATAAAAATAATCTATCTTGAAAATGCACACTTTATTTTATAGACCCTGACTATCATCCACTAGTACACTGAAACATTGTTTTTCTGTATGGGGCGTTCATAAAAACAGAAACCAGACTCTTCACACAGGAGCTAACATAATCATAGAGTTAAGTAATAAATAAGAACAAACAGAAGGTATAGAATCTGGAGCTATAGAAGAAAAATATATGATTTATGTTTAGATTTGGGTCACTTAGCAGTACAATGGAAGGCTCTCACACGAATAATGGGTGGTAGAGCTGATTGAAATATGGAAAAAAACAATGCTGCATAAAATTGTGAAGTGTCCAAGTGTTTCCATTTAAAAGGTTTCAGAATCTGACCCATTTTAATTTTCTTGAAACTCTTTTCTCAAAGTTTTCTGTCCAAGTCTGCTGAGCACCACAATTAAATCCATGATGGGCGACATTCATCTTTGTGCAAAGGGCCAACAGAGATGAAACAAGCAAGTATCAAGAAAACAAGGAGTGAGTCCAGTATTAGGGCAGCTAAATTAACCAACCAAAATGAGAAAAGCAAATAGTGAAGCAGGATAAGTCAACATTTATTTTTCTATCAGTTTTCATCTATAAATTCCAATCTCTTATTCAACATCTAATGGAATATATTTGAAGGCATACAATCAGCCAAATGAGATCTTCTCAAATGTATTTTAAAGCATTAATGAATGGAGTATTCATAGACCCTTTAGAAACTCAGAGAGTAAAATAAAATTATACATTTACCTCCTTGTGCTTTCTGTAAGGAGTTAAGAAATAGTGCTGCAGCCTCTGACAGAGCTAGAGGATGTGTATTTTGGCTGCGTGTTTCTGGAGAGAGACAAAGCCAACACACTTTCTCAAATCTAAACCTACACCAATGAAACATAGTTAGCCAATTTGTGTCTGCAAAATTTCTGCATTTCACATTCTGCCCTTGCTTTTTTTTAAGCTTTACAATTTGAGAACAAAAGGGAGACTTTTAAAAATATATTTGAAGCTGTTTCAGTAACTTTCCATACAATTCTCTGCCCCCAAATAGCTCGTTAAATCACTCAGAGAGAACAACCTTATACTTTTCTTAAATAGAAAGAAACAAACATAATTCTTTTTAAAGTCCCCTTAGGGTATGTCTACACAGCAAAGTTATTTCAGGATACCAGAGATATCCCAAAGTAGCTACCCCGCGTCTTTTGAACGTATCCACTATTTCAAAATATAGCAGACACGCTATTTTGCTATCCCTGTAAACGTCATTGTAAGAGGAGTAAGGGATGGCTTGAAATAGCGCTGTATTTCGAAATATGGCACAGTGTAGACAGCGCCAAATGACAAAATAAGCTATTTCAAAATAGACTCGAAATAAGCTATGCCATTTGCATAGCGCAAATTGCGTGTCTTATTTCAAGTTTTGGGTGCTGTGTAGATGCATCCTTATAGACAGGCTCTATTTGCTTGCATTTGTTATCTAGTTTTAAGGTTCAGTTTGCACAATAAATATTGTCTAAAAGAATATTTTCTCAAACTCCATATTTTTACATTTTAAAGCTGCTCCTTTGATTTTGATTGTTAGCAAAACAAAACAGAAGGTTAAAAAGTAGCTTTTCCCCCCAGTTTAATTTTTTTACGTTGAATTATCTCCTCATCCCATGAGAGAATATTTTGTTTACTGTTAAACTAAAGCTTTCTGCAATTCTTATACACCTGCTGTTCCCATCCATTAGATCAATTTTGATACACATCATTTCTGAGAGGGAGTGGGGGTTACGGAGATGAAAGACTATAACAGTTATTTTTCCTTAAAAAATATTTCCAGGTGAGCTTACCTAGCTGCAGTCTGTCATAGAGATCCTTCATCTGGCTCTCATCTGAGATGAAGCGACGTCCCTCTAATAAATCAATGGGAAGGGTGTTAAAACAAAACACCACGTCCATGTAAATCATAACTAGAGGACCCTAAAGTAGTAATTTTAAATTTTTACAATCATGTTTACACAACTATACAAACCTTCTAGTAGTATTTATCGCCAAGTGCCTGAGAATGATCAATTAATTTCAGCGCAATCTAAATAATAGAACATTGTGCTTTATCTGAGCTACATTCTCTTCCAAACAGCTGATGATTTTCAGCGTTTTCCACTGTTTTGTTAACTTTCTGTAGGAATTGCAGGTGACATTTACCAGCTTCTTCCTTCACGTGTCTTTGTTGCTCTACATCCGGACACTAGTATAAATGGAGGCAGCATTCTTGGCTTTGGTGGATTTTTCTCACATTTGCAGCAGCAAATATTTTGGCTCTTAATTTAGTTTTTTAAATTATTTATGCTGTTTTCTTCTTTGCATTTCTGAGTGTAAACTATGAAATGTTGGGGGGGGACAGTATTTTTGTTCGTTTGTTTGGGGCTAGGAATTTGTACTGTTAGATTCTCATTGATGTATAGTCTGGATAGCACACACATCCACAATGCTTATTTTGTTTTTTAAAAAACCAGCTGTTTACACTGAATTGCTTTTAAAAAGATGAAAAAAAAAAATTCCATCGGATCTTAGTTTTTTTTCTTTAAACTACAAAATCTCAATTTTGATCCAAATTGTATTATTAAACACTGTCCCTTTAATGCTAAAATAACAAAAATAGATTCATTTAGGGCAGGGCTTGACAACCTTTTCAAACCAAAGAGCCAAACTACATCAAAATTCAGAAGAAGTGGTCAACAAAGAGCCAGTATAAAAATGTCTTTTTGCATGGCTGAAAATGCACAACTTAATATTATTGATAATGGACATGATGATTACTAATAGCATAAATGAAACGTACTCTCAGACTTTATTTAATGGAACTTCTGCTGCTGGGAGTGCAGTTAGTGGATGTGGGGGTGCAGGAGTCAAGGCGAGGTGTACGAGGGGCTCAGGGCAGTTGGTTGGGGTGTGTGGAAGGTGTAGGAGGCAGGGCAGGGCAGGGCACTGGGGGTGGGAAGTAGTGTATATGGGGGAGCCCTAGAGCTGGATAACCTTGCCTGGACAAGGCTGAGCTATTGTGCCTGAGCAGCAGTGGCTGGATTAGGGGCTGAGCCAGGATTGCTGCAGCCGGATCGTGGCCTCCCCTCCTACTGCCACCTCCAGATCTTCTTGTGGCCAGACAGGGGCCATACCACAGGGCCTGCTCCGGGATCGGGGCTGGGGACTGGAGGCTGCAGCCAGATGGGGGGCCAGGCCCTAATTGGGGTCTTGTTGGCCATGGCTGCAGCCCAACCTGTGCCACTGTGGCCAGGATGTTGCAGCATTGCAGAGGCTGCCATGGCTGGGCCACAGGTTCTGCCTCAGAAGCAGGGCAGCTGGGGAGAGACCGCAACTGTCAGATGGGGGCTGAAGCCAGGCCACTGCGGCCAGATGGAGGCATCTGCCACTGCCAGCCCCTCTTAGGGTGTGTCTAGACTACAGAGTTTTGTCGACAAAAGTCCACCTGCATCTACACTACCACCGAGTTCTGTCTACGCTGGTAAACCTGATTCTACGAAGAATAACGCCTTTTGTCAACAGAGTTCTATTGACAGAAGGCATTATTGCATCTACACTATCCTTTGCATCTACACTCTCATGTCGATAAAGCGGCTTGCTTTGTCGACAGAACTGGATGTAATCTAGATGTTCTTTGTCGACAGAGGCTTTGTCGATAGTATCTGTCAACAAAGCCTCTGTCGACAAAAACCTGTAGTCTAGACGTACCCTCACTGTCCCAGCTGGGAGCACGCACACGTCCCCTACAGTGCACCCTCAGCCGGCTCTTTAAAAGAACAGTCTCCCAGCTGGCTCTTAACAAAGAGCAGACAGTTCTTACCATGGTGTACCGCCTTACTTTCACCTCTGGTTAAAGGTGAAATAAACATAAAAAGACCATCTTGACTTGAGTAATTACGTGTTTTTAAAATTTTGAATCAATTTTACATTTTAATTTACAAAGTTGCATGAATTTTGGGAATGACAAAAGACCCATATTTGGTTCCATACTGATCCATGGATTGCTGCTCCCTGATTTAGGGCATAAATAAATTGGAAATAATAGCTCCCGAAATAACTATTTTGAAATAAGTTTATTCCCCAAGGACAGCAGGCATAAAGATTTCAAAATAACCAGCCTGTTATTTCAAAACACCGGGCTTGGTAAGTGTAGACGCTTTGGTTATTATTTCAAAATAACTCCCTAGTGTAGACCAGGGCTTACACAGCTCATTGCAATTCCATCCTCCAAAGTTGATGGCGTATGAATTCCCAGCACAAGTAAAAGGTTTACCTTAGAAAATAGTATTACCCTGGTTTTTTTCTGGAGATGCTTTAATAAAGCACAATAAAGATCCAGGAGTAATTAAATATATCCAAAGTATGTTAAGGCCTTTTAAAAATCCATTTCAGAGGGGAAAGTTATTTTTCCAGCTGATTTAACAACCAAATTATAATTACAGTTCCTTTGGAAATATTTTTTAAAAATGGTTCCAAATTTACAATTATTTTCCTTCATAAAAAATAGTAGAAATTTGTTTAAGGTAAAAAGGGGTCAGTCAACACACTTCCAGCTTCCCTTCCCTCCCCTGATATTTAACACTTCTCAGTTTTCTGCTTGTGTTGAATAAAGTAGATCAACAATAAAACATTGGTAGTGAAGTTATTGTCCTTAAAACGGAAATAGTTTGGGACTTACGTGCACCCTTTAAATAGAGCATCGCCTGTGGAGTCCAGTTTCTTCTTTGGAAGTGACTCTTTGTACCAAAGGAGAGAAAAGTGATATGTTAACACAGCCGTGCCACTGACAACAAGCACCACCACTTTACCAGCAACCACCTGTGAGAGTTATTACTGCATATGCCTTCATTTGGATAAAGCACTTTACCTGAGGAGCACTCCAGGAGAAAGAGATGAAAGAAGCTGCAAGGAACAGGGTCATGGCAGAAGCTGTCAGTCTACGCAATCCCTGCATAGGACAAGCAACCACAAGGACATGGAAAATTGCTTTCTGGATCCCCAGGCATCCTCTCTGCTCAGCTTCATCTCCTGATGTTATTCTGGTCCCCCCTTTGTTTCTAAAGCCCCGGGAGGGCATGGGACTGAACTCGATGACCTCTCAAGGTCCCTTCCAGTTCTAGTGTTCTATGATTCTAAAGCCCCGGTATTCCATGGACTGCATCCTCTCAGCCAATCCACATCAAATTTAAGGAGAGGCTGGATATTAAAATCAGGCCATGTGAAGTTTACATATGGATGTAAATTACCATTGACATGAGAACTCTTGTGTGCTTTCTTTAACAAAGATGCTGGTTCTTCACACTCTCTGATTACAGACATGGTCTATAAACCCAGAGAGAGGGATTAGATAATAATATCAATCATAAATGTACACCCAACCCTGATTGATAATGAAATGATAGGCAAATGTTTCTATATCCCAAAGTAGGGGACTTGGCATTTTAAAAATAATAAAGCGGATCACTGCTTTCTCAGTAAGTACACATTGTTTAACTTAGTGTTAGATTTAGATCAACCAGGATATTGACTAATAATACAAATGTTATTTGTATTAAAATTAAAATCTTGGGTTTTGCACACTGGCACAGCATTTGCAAATGAATATACTGAATTTAAATCCCATGTAAAGCAAGCTGTCTCTCTAATTTGAATACACGACACAAGCCTTGTTTTTCATGAATTGATTCATGGGACAAGTAAGTGATAGCATACAGCTATTATGACTCAGATGTTTATTTCATCCTTTCTGTTTTTAGAAGTCATTGTGCTATTAATGGTTTAATGTTTGGTTTACAGTATACTAAAAATCACTATCACATTGTTAGTTGTTGTCTATTTTTTTTTTAATTACAAACCACCCCCTGTTGCTCCTAAAATAATACACACAACTAAAACTGCTGGAGAAACTACTATTTACCAAAAAGTTTTAAAGTATCAAAAGCTTCTGACTTACCTTCATTCTTCGTTCCCCTGTAAAGCAATAGTCTTGGATAGGGTGAGCTAGGATTGTGTGTTAAGATATTTGAGCTACTTGCAATTTGGGTTCCCTTTTTAAGTCTTTCCAGTGATAGACCCCACCCCTTTTCCAGTAGAGTGGAGGAGTCTAAAGGGACCTCTTGTCATCCCTGACAATTGAGAAGTAGAAGGTCTGATGCCTCCTCAGGGGAACTTGCATATTTGCGTGGAGTCAGGGAAATGATTGAAGGACGGACAACACAGACATGGAGATTCACCCCATTAGCCAAGAGACTTTCTGAATGCATCAACATCACAGTCAAAACTTCTCCCACCAGCTTCTCAGTAAAACATCATTGCCATGCAAGGCAATCAATAATAGAAGCCAGAAGCAAATATTAATAAGGATAATGAGCTCTTACTTTGGATAACCCATCAATTGTGGCCACTAAAAAGCAACCCTACAGAAAAGTTAGCAAATTATTCTCAAAAGTCACCATCTGTCAATGCATGAGAAAAGAGAGACTGAAGAAAAAGCAGCATGTCCAGTGAAGTCAGTTTTAATGCTGGCTAACGTAACAGGAGTAAAGTCTCTTGTTCGTTTTTTTTCCCCTGTCGCATTGTTGCCTATTATGTTGTTAATGCCACACAAAACCAAAGGGACAAGTAGAGTTTTTAAAACATTAAACTGTACTCTCTTTGCAGTCTTGACAGTCACAACTACATGGAGTGCCTGGAGTAGATGTTCAGTTTATGGAATATACCCTCCTCGAGCAGTTAGAGCTATGGAATAACCCAGATAATGAAAAACAGGAATCTGAAGAATTGGTGTCAAATCCTGACATTAAAGTTCCTTGTATACAAGATTAATTGATGTTATAAAAACCTTAAATGCATGGCAGGTGTGTGTTACAAATTACACAAAGAACACTAGTTGGTATAATAGAATGATATGTCATGGGTATAAGCATCTTATTGAATTCTATTGCAATCTGAAACATTTGAATAAATATTTGTCAATGCATCTATTTGTTATTTATCCACTATATATAAATATACTCTTTTATATAGAGAGCAACAAGATACCGAACTAGTTTGATCCAGCCTTGTACTTCCTATCTTTCTAGAGAAGGGAATAAATAGTCTTATGTTCTAATCCCAGTTCAACACTGACTGCTTGGTTGGCAAGCGTCTTCACTTCAGTGCCTACATTTCCTCATCTATAAAATGGGAGCAGGACTTCCCTAATAGGCGTCTTGCAAAGGGAGTGGCCAGAGAGCTAACAGGTGAGCAATAAAATAGAAATGGATAGTAGTAAAAATAGTGCTGTTCTGATGGATAGGGATGTTACTATGCATATTTATTAGGTGAATGGGCCTGCAACCAAAGCAAAAAGAGTCTTCCTAATTTGTGACATGCATGTGCTCCTGTGGAGACATGGATGGGCAATGTGCAGATAGGTTTTGTTAAGGTCCATACGTTTACTGACCTTTGGGCTTCTTTGGCCATGTTTGCTCCTTCAAGGGCTATTTATGCCAGTATTATATCTAAGCACAATGCCACTAGGAGGTGGAGAGCAGCCACGCTTTTGTTGAAATGGGATACTGTTCTGTCCAATAGAAACGAGGATGTGACTGTCAGACTTCATGACAGATGCTAGCCAGGATAGGATAACAATGGTACAGGGTTGGGGTTCTAGTTGTGTTGTGGATGCAAGAAATCACGGGGCATCTTAGATTATGACCTCACACAACCAAGGTGGTAGTGTTGGAACTACGTCAGCAGTCTAGGAATTTGTAGCCTTTAGAAAGTTGAGATCATGATGCACCCTTCACCAGCAGCCAGGATTATACTTGCATCTTCTAAAAGGTGAAGTTTGCAGTCTCTCAACATCTTCTTGTCCATGACAGAACAGGGACATTCCTCTGGATGTTCAACCCCCAGTCTTAAAGAGGGGCTTTGCATATCATGTAACAATTACACACACAGAAACTTACAGCTAGGCAGCAGCCATTCAGGTATGTGGCATAAAAGTGGCCCTGTACAGTCTTTCAGTGGCTCTTGCAATCCTAAATTATTTGGGCTTTTTAAAAATTGTATCTGAAATGCGTGGCCAAAGTTCATACAAGACATCTTTGGGCAGAACTGGGAACTGACCCCAAGACTCATAAATCCTAGTTTAGTGTTTTAACCTAAAGACTACCCTTCTTCTCTTTCTAGTATATTTCACGTCACAATGCTTTACATAGTATATATTTAGACTGCCCACAGAAATGCAGCCACCTCTGCAGCAAAATATGGCATATGTTTAACAGCACATAGAAACACTAAATAATATTTTAAGATGGGAAACATAACAATATGTGTGCACCCTGGGTGCTTACATACATAATTTAGGCACAGATAGTTGGGTGTGTGAAAATATATGCACATCTCTTTGAAAAATAAAATAGCCTTTACTTGGGTTATGGATCATCACACTTGAAAATGATATGTGTCTTTTCTTGTTGTTTTGACAGTCCAGACTGATGAGTTCCACATCAAATGCTTTACATCAGGCCTGCCATTTCTTAGCAGATTCACATCAATGAGTAAGTGGCTTTGGCATGTAATCAATATGCTAAGTCAGCATGATGGAGAGCAGCACACTGTGGCAACAAGACCCCCCTCATTAGAAGAAACATAACATATGCTTGTTCAGAAAGAAGTTCTAAAGGTCAGTGACCTGCCTAACATGACAGTGTAAATGATGAAACCCAAGACTCTGTGACTGAACTTGAGTTCTGAGATACTTGGAGGAACTTATCTGTGAGTTAACCACAAGGTTCTGAGACACACAGCCGAATTCAGGGCCCACATTGCCTATTGCTGTGACCACTCACTATCATGCTGATGAGTATTGTCCCGTTCTTTCCTAGAGCTCCCCTGTCTGGTTGTAAACTCTCAGGGTATGTCTACACAGCAGCATTATTTTGGAATAACTGATGTTATTCCGAAATAACAAAAAGTGCATCTATACTGCAAGCCATTATTTCAAAATAGTAGCGAGCTGGAGGACTTCTCACTCCCATTCCTGTAACCCTACTTTTATGAGGAGTAAGGGAAGTCAAAGGGACATTGTTCTCCCTTTGACTTCCCACAGTGTGGAAGGTGCCAAAATTCTAGTTAAGATACTTCGACTTAAGCTGCTCTGTTAACATAGCTGAAGTTGTGTATCTTAATTCAAACTAATCCCCGAGTGTAGACCACGGGTGAGTGAGATTCTATAAAAAGGATGAATGGTAGTCTGTATCTACACACAAGCAGTTATTACGACATAATGTCGAAATAATGTTGAGCTGGACGACTTCTCAGTCCTACTCCTGTAACCCTCATTATACCAGGTGTAAGGGAAGTCAGAGGGAAGAGTGCTCTGTCTCGAAATAACTGCTGTGTAGACAGTGCCACAAGTCAGCTACACAATTAGTGTAGCTCAAGTTGCATAGCTGATTTAGGGTTTAGCCCTCCCCCCTCCCCCCAGCTCCTGTGTCATGTTATTACAGGAGAATTTCAGTTTTCATTCTTTTTAAAACAGTTTATAGTCCTCATGACTGGGGAGAAAAGCTTGATAATTTGAAGAGTGCTCCCTGGTTTCAGAAACTCAAAGGCTAAGAAAAGCACCCCAAAAGTGTCATTTAAAGAAACTCATGATTTTGGGGTAAATCTTATATTTCTGGGGTCCCTGATTTGTGATTTTTGACTATTTGATGTATCAGCACTTTATACATCCTGGCTACATCTAGACTGGCATGATTTTCCGGAAATGCTTTTAACGGAAAAGTTTTCCGTTAAAAGCATTTTCAGAAAAGCGCGTCTAGATTGGCAGGATGCTTTTCCACAAAAGCACTTTTTGCGGAAAAGCGTCCGTGGACAATCTAGACGCGCTTTTCCGCAAAAAAGCCCCGATCGCCATTTTCGCAATTGGGGCTTTTTTGCAGAAAACAGTACTGTGCTGTCTTCACTGGCCCTTTTGTGCAAAAGTCTTTTGGAAAAATACTTTTGCCCTAACGGGAGCAGCATAGTATATCCAGAAAAGCACTGACAATCTTACATGAGATCGTCAGTGCTTTTCCGGAAATTCAAGCGGCCAGTGTAGACAGCTGGCAAGATTTTCTGGAAAAGCGGCTGATTTTCCGGAAAAACTTGCCAGTCTAGACACAGCCCTAGTGCTTAATTCCAAGTCTAGTGCTTTAGCTGTAAGACCATCCTTCCCTTTGTCCATTGGGCTTATGAAAAGGGCTGTACTGACCATCCTGGGGGTACAAGTACACCATAAGCAGTGACTGTAAACTTCAGAAAAGCCAGTGTGCAACTTATATAAAGGCCTCACATACAAGAGCAGGGAGATAACTGTCCCTCTATTTAGGTGTCAGTATGCTACTCAAGGAATATATTGTGATATTCCTAGAGTACATTAATTCCTTTTAGTGAAGGGAAAGTTTAAGCCAAATAGCAGGAAAATCTCTCTGCAAGAAGTAGAATGCTACAAAAATGTAGCTTTAAGAACTTACAAGTTGGAAAAGGTTAGCTGACCACCAAATCCGAAGAAATATGCAAGTGCTTCTGTGGTATTCATTGGCTCAGGATAAAACAGGCATGATAAAGAATTGCACGTAACATCACAGAACGCATAGTAAAGAAGATACGCTTCTGCAATGACAGAAGCACCTAAGGCCACAGAGTCATTTGACCTTTGCATCCACCCACGTGAATCTGGCAGAAAAGATTTTTGCCTTTGTCAAGAAACTACCTACATGGATACTGACCATGCTAAATGTTACTCACGCAGCCAACCCCTCTTGACTGAGTAGTCCATTTGTCACACAGTCTCACCCATGGAGCCAGAGAAGAAATGCGGTCAAGTGGCTTGGTGCTGAGTGACATTTGATTGCAAACAGTGGGCTATACTGGGACCAAGGGAAATGACACTGACCTCTTAAAATCACTGAAGGGCTGAGAGATGATGGGACAGTTGAGTATTGCTGCAGAACCTTAATCAAATTTCATGTCG